TCTGTACATATCAATTATTCAGCAAGAAAAGTAGCTTGGCAGGCCGGACACTTGAGACTTCCTTAACGAAAGACCTGGATATGAGGGAATTGGGATAACCAAGAACTTCGGATACAGTAGAGGAGAGTGGAGTAGACATGTATTCACTAATACGAATTGCAAAGGAAAGTTATGTCAAGTATTACAACAACAAATAAAGAGTCACAGTCACAAACTGTTTATGTTTTTATCTATTGTTCATACAATTTATTCTAGTGGTTTCAAATTGTATATTAATCGAATTATTCGTTATTCGTTATTACATGAAAAAAACAACAAATAAGGAGTCAGAGGATATAAACTGTTTAATTTTTATCTATTGTTCATAAAATTTCCTTATTCGTATATAAAAAATAGTCGTTGCAGGGAAGATTTTAAATATTTTTCCCAATTTCTTTTGGTTTACGTCTCTGATTTTAACAGGAAGTATATTATAGTATGTTTTTTATAGAAATAGTATAATTTTGTTCCTGCCGAATATGAATGAATTTCAGATTTTTGTATGAAATTTTCTTAGTTTTTATGTAAAGGAATACCTATCAGATAAAATTTGTGAAGTTTGAAAAACATCTCAGCATAGCTCTAGACGTTTTAAATTGTATATTAATCGAATTGTTCGTTTTTGGTGGACAAAAATTGGGAAGATATCAATCTTAATATGGCAAAATATGAATTAATAAGTTTCTTTGAAACATAGTCTATATATTGGAACACTTTGATTGAGATTCGGTGCATATTGATGTCCATGCTTGTGAGTTAGTGAGTGAGTTATAAGCTGTAGATACCAGCGAGCTTAATATACTTCTACTAATAGTTCCACTGAAGCTATTGAGCAATGCCATGGAGTGAGATCAAGGATCTTATTCTCTCTATACGGTGAAGCCATTTCTAGATGGATAAGTAATCCCAAATTTAAATTAGGTAATCCATTTTCCTTTATCAGTTTTACGATACAAGAAAATGTTGAAAGATGTTGGAGAATTAATGGTATTTAAATTATTGCTGGGAACAAAGACAATAGATCAATTGGAAGGTCAAAAGGAAGTCTAGCATAATGAAGTGAGAATACCCCTTTAATAAGTACAAACCTGATAAAGAAAATAAAAATTTTGCTTGCAAAAAGGATAACTAGAAAGTCCTTTTATTTTTCAGGTAATGTAGTACCAAAAAATATCACTGGGAAGTTTTCGTCTTAAAGATATGAAAGTACTATTGGGTAACATGTGTGTCAAAATATAGCCGGCCGCCCTTTGCATACATGACAAAGGCGAATGAATGAAACCAACTACACCCAAAGACAGCAGCAATAAAACGTAGTAAGAGAACATTCTAAATAATTGTATATATAAAATTGAAATGCACAAATGAATTAGGAAAATACTGGGCAAGTTCTTACTGTCGTATGCAAATGACCTTCGATACAAAGCAGGTGTAAATGCTAAAAAGTAGAGAAGATAGGATCGATCCCTGCGGAACACCACACCTACCTCGGTCGCGTGTTGAGTTTCCCTTGGTGGTTTCGACAAACTGCAATCTTCTATCTTGCATCATTGAAATGCAACAGTGTATCGTGTTTAAGTATTTATTGGAAGCAGAAGCGATGATCGGAGGCATTGGAGAGACCTATTGATATATTTGTGGATGTTTGGGTTACCCCCATTAACCTGACCTCAAAGTTAGAATAACTAGGGGACAATTAAATTTTAGTAGTAGACTTTACTACGATTTAACAATTTAAAAACGAAACATATTTAAGACAGTTTCATTATCTTATTTCTAACTTTAAAATGAAAGTGTCTCCTATTCGCTTGAGTTTCGATTGTAGGTCCGGACTTCCAATTATACCAGCTGGAAGATACAAGACCAAATTTTAAATTTTATTAAGCAAAATCGAATGGAATTTTTCTTCGTATACTGGCAATTTTGGAAGGTCCCCCATATAGTTTATTGACATTTCATTTAGCCGTTTTTGAGATGTTTCAGTTTAAAAATAATTATCTTTCCATTTCTGGACATTGTTAAAACAATTGCAAACATAGATAATATGATTGCCATCAAGACCGACTTGAGAATTTTTAAACAATAAGGCTATTGTCTAGAAATTGAATGATAATTATTTTTAAACTGAAATATCTCAAAAACGGCCTATTGAAATGTCAATAAACTATATGTTTTTGAAAACAGGAAAACAGATCTACGATTTAATCTAATAATATATAGGGCATTCATCAACATTCATTCATCATTCATCGTTTGTTCTTCTGACATTTGCATAATATAATAGAGCAAAAATCTTCAAACTTTTGTATTTGAAGTTTTCTTTTTCTATCTTTCAAAATGTAATGCATAACAAACTAACTAATTAGAACTAATCAGTTCAATTCAGTTCCAGCTGTGAATTATGAAATTATTGGGTAGGTAATTATCGGTCAATGAGGTGTTATAATTGTGAATAATAGTTGGAAGTTATTAATTTTGTCGAAATCATCCACCTATATTTTCGGCCGGCCTAAAGCTAAAAACAATATATTATCAGATTAGAGCGGCAGCTTCCAAAACGGCACTAATATCAAGAATTCGCCTTTTATCAGGGATAGATATATATCCCGTCTCATCCCTAGCTGGCATCGACATCTATAAATAAAAAGAAATGGAAACAAAATAATGTGGCTGACGGAGAGCCATTCCAGAACTTATATGTCATATAAGGGATGATTTCGTATTGACCCTTTACATCAAAATAGCATTAGGATGGTCCCGAGGAAAGTTTTCACGATGTTTATCAAACTCGGCGTTTATATACCCCAGATAATCTATTACGGTCACATCCGTCAATACGATCCGTATTCATTTTGAAACGTTTCAACCCAAATCCAGATGGATTCTTTTCGTCTAGCTCAGCCAATGAATACTTTGATCCTGGCAAAAATTTTGTAAGACAGTGAAAATCTGAATAAAATGACCACTAATGCATAATTTATATTTTTGCAAGTTTAAGATTTAAAGAAAAATTTTAGCCCACATACTGCAAAATGTGAATAATTTGATTGGAAAACAGGAAACATAAAAACAAATGAGGGCCCTTTTTGAATAACAAAATTACTTGAAAACCCTTATGAAAATGGCAATTAATGGAGATATTTAATACCTTTCGATGCAAATAAAATATTTTTATAATGACTTCTATATTTTTAAAACACCAGAATCTCTGTTTGTTTGTGTTTCTAAATGGTGGGATTCTATGAGGACGACCAAATTTGAGGGTCGTCTATAGACGTGGGAGAAAAATGAACCTATAAAACCATACGACATGGAAACATGGCGTATTAAAAATTTCAGTATAAGCTCCATGTTAATCTATAATGTCCACAGGAATAGCCACATTCATTTCACTGAAATGAAGTTTAATAATTCTCCCCTATCGTTGAACAAAAAAATGTCATTGGACTTCATCCCTCCTTGTTGTTTCCTGTGTTCTTCAATTCTAATGTTCACAGTTTTTTTTGTTTCTCTGTTATATTTATTTAGTTATTATCATAACAAATTTAAAAACAAAAAGGATAAAAGACCCAAGGGGCGCTTCTAAACTTAACATAAAAAATCGCTTTCATTATCAAAAATAATTGTTTGTAACCATTTTTTTGCTATTTAGTAAGAACAAATCTTTTAAAAAATCCAATGGTAATTTGTTGATCAATTTAGGAGCTTGATCTTTGAAATAATGCTGTGTTCTCTCGAAATAAAGGCAGCAACTGTTTTTTTCTTGAACTTTAGATATTTAGCACTCTAAAATTTTTAATGTTTCCTAAGTAAGATTGAGTGAAGCTGTCTCAAGGATTGAAACTTTAGACGTTTCTGTCTGCGTATAACGTGATTGATCCTGTCATATTTGCTAATATTGTAAAAACATCTGGGCTTTCTAACTAACCAAAACTGGACCATAAACTAAATCAGCATATGATAACCTGGAGATAATTATTGACTCACAGAGATAATTTATGTTTGGGATGCATTTGCTAATCGTATGTTAGTATCCACTTCAGTTTTAAACTCTATATCATTGTTAACTCTAGATGATTTCTGACATAGTCTACCCGTTTTTGTGGTCCAAATAATACGGCCCCTGACTTATTGTCTCTTATTGACTCTCCACACTTCCTGTACTCTAAAATACCAACTTATGGTGAGATCGAGAGTAAGGCGCCCACATTTATTAAATATTTATTAACGTGGATTTCATCAAGCTTGCATAATATAATTAGTTATGCGCTAGTTGTCTCAGGTGATGATAAAAGTTGCTGGAAGCAAGTTGTTCCTAAATTAACTACCATTAGATAAAAACATCTCACATCAAATCAAATCAAATCAAATCATTTAATGCAAAGGTATTTTTCAACAGTGCTACACAAAAAAGGATTTTCTCTCGAAGAAGAAGAAGAAGAAGAAATGCATAATCTATTGATCGTAACAAAAAATATGTAAATTAGAGGAATTTTTAAATACCGCTTTTACAGACGTGGGAAGAATTTTGTTTTTAGTTTTTTCTCTTCGTGTCAAAATGAAGAAAACAAAAACGTTAATTTATATTAATTCATTTTAAAAATAGATGAGAATTCAAAATTATCTAAAAGGATAATATGATAAGATCCCAAAATTGTTAAAATTGAATATCTACCAAACAGATTTCAACAAAACTGAATATATTGCTCAGTGGGTTTCAGTATAATCAAAGCTAAACTCGCTAATTACACTCAAGTTATGACTTACTAGTGCTGGTTAAGTTTTCATGGAGGACAGTTTGAGGGGTAATAAAGTGCCAACAGAAAAAGACAAAAGAGTTGTATATGTCGGAAATAAAGATGGATTCTTAAAAGACGGTTCTTCAGATTATCAGAACATTGCTTTAGAAAAATCGTACAATATAAAATCAAAGAATAAGTAATTGCCGCGGTATTACATACCTCTAAGTCGATATCGTGAGGCAAGCAATCTAAAGAATTTTCTTCTATCCACTGGACGCCGCAGATATCGGTTTGACAGGAGCTTGATACATATTTCGCACTTCTATTAGGAGACGGAGAATCAGAAATCCTGCGCTTCACTTCAACCACAATCGGCTCGTGTGCTGTCAGGAATGCCCTGACAGCATCTTCGTGAGGAAAACTACTTACATCCGTACCATTAACCTGAAATAATAAAAAAAATTATTCGGATTAAGCGTAAATTAGACGTATTATTATTATTATTATTATTACTATTAACGACTTAATTTTTTTTTTAATTTAATTTCCAATAACCCAACATTTCCCAATAATAATATCTGCATCGATAATATTTTCATGAGGGAAACTAACAGTAAAGTCATGGGAATAATAATAAACTGCAAACTCCAAGAAATATCTGAAATAAATGAGCACAAATTATGGAATTTATGTGTCTCTGAAAATTGGCAAACACCTTATAATGACGAAGGGTTAGAAATTTAAATAATGAAAATTCAAAATATCTATAAGCTGGCACTTAAAATTCGCCCTAAAAGCCAGTTAAGAATAAAAACAAATTATATGAAGCCTGGAAAAACAATCAAGATGATTTGGTTAAAAAGGATCAATATCTACAATACGAAAAAACTTGACAGGCATGAAGATAGACAACTGCGATCCAGAGTATAAGCAAGTCCCAATACATTTGTTCCACAACAAATCTTGTTAACGTTTTTGAAAAAAATATTTTCGTCAGGTTATTCAACTTCCTAAATAAACACAAATTATTATTTTTAAGCCAATTTGGCTTCATCAAGAAGAAAGGCACAGATGATGCTATAACTTTACTTGGTAAATTTATCTATGAAAACTTACGTCTTAGCCTACCAACAGTTGTGATATTTTTAGACTACACAAAAGCTTTTGATACAGTTAATCACGTTATACTAGTGTCCAAATTGCAGAATATGGGAATAAGCAAGTTAAAACAAATGTTGGGGTACCTCAGGGCTCAATGCTTGGATCAATATTGTTCATCTTATATATAAATCAAAATAAATAAGAACTAAAAATTCAGATTTTCACGAAATTATATATTTTGACATGACAATTGTTTAGACAACACCGTGTCTTTATCAACATCAACATTTGATAAAGACACGGTGTTGTCGAAACAATTTTCATGTCAAAATATATATATATATATATATATATATATATATATATATATATATATATATATATATATATATATATATATATATATATATATATATATATATATATATATATATATATATATATATATATATATATATATATATATATATGATGACACTATATTCCGGGATATCATCCGTTCGCTCGTTGAACTCCGACTGGAATCCTGCATCCGACTGGAATCCTGCAAATCCTGCATCCGACTGGAATCCTGCAGACGTTTCGCCAAAATCTCACTTGGCATCTTCAATGCTCGCGCTCCGAAAACACTTCGAACACTGTGTTCGAAGTGTTCGAAGTGTTTTCGGAGCGCGAGCATTGAAGATGCCAAGTGAGATTTTGGCGAAACGTCTGCAGGATTCCAGTCGGATGCAGGATTTGCAGGATTCCAGTCGGATGCAGGATTCCAGTCGGAGTTCAACGAGCGAACGGATGATATCCCGGAATATAGTGTCATCATATTTTTCCATCCGTGAATCAATACGTGAGAATATATATATATATATATATATATATATATATATATATATATATATATATATATATATATATATATATATATATATATATATATATATATATATATATATATATATATATATATATATATATATATATATATATATATATATATATATATATATATATATATATAAGTAAAAGCCACCTCAGTACAATTATATATAAATGATTTATTGGTTTTGCAAGATACCTTAATAGCATATTCGGATGATACTGCACTATCAATGAAAGCAAAATCAGCCATGTCATCAAACTCTGGGTATTATGTACTCCTGACTCTATCAAAATAAACTGGTGAAGATATTAAGTGTAATTTAATACATTTTTTAATTATTTTTGACAAGTTCGTGTTATTTTTATCTCCAGATTTATGGATTGGCGTGATAATTGGTTTTTTAAAACATTCTGTATATTTTCTGGTTTTAAAGATTAAATTTACTAGATATAAAAGCGGTACGAGAATAATATGGTTGCTGTTCTTTATTGCTTTCACCTGGTGCAGAATCATGGTTTAAGCTGTTTATGTCAAGTATCATATTATTTCCTATAATCGATTTATTTGAAAGAAAATTCTCTTTCTCAAATTTTTGTGAATAGTGATCAAAGCATTCAGCTTAGTTTTTTATAAATCCACACACTTTAACTGGATCAACCTTGTTAATAGACCAAAATATTTGTAGAATGGATATTAACACATTAATTTAATGCATTAACATTTTTCAGCATCAAACAGATGTGTCCAGTAAATCTTATTATAATAATGATTACAAAATAACTACAAATAAATGCAATTTGTAGGTTTTAAAAAGCAACTAAATTATATCGCAAAACAAAGAAAATAAGAAAATGATTCTACTAAAAATTTTGTGTGTTTTTCTTTTATAATTCTCTATTAATGATCTTTTTCTTTCTCTTCATCTGTAATTGGGATATTTTAATGTATCCGGTAATTCAAACGAGTATCATATATGAATAAAACTAAAAACACAAATTTGGTGTTTGGGAAATTTTAGGGTATTGCCGGGAAATTTCAGATAAATTTGAGTCTTCAATCCAGAGCATAGGAAAAATATATGACGTAACGTCAAGCCAATGTGCTACAAAATGTCAGGGAAAAACTGTAAATAAATTTATCAAAAGGAAAATGGCATTTGCCATTAATCTTGGATCTCAATTAAAATAGTTGGATTTCTTTAAAGTAGTCCAAAAATAACCTATAAAAATACAATTCTATATAATTACATAAAAAAAATTTCAGGAACCATTCCTGGACCGTTTAACTTAAACAAATGAATATCGAAACCAAAGAATTACAAATTCCTGCAAAATATTCAAAAAACAATTAGATATCAGAGATCAAAAAGGGAATTTCGGTGTAAAATTTGAAATTATTGTTGAGAATAATTGATTAGGGCTGATATTTCCTAAAATGTTAATTAATGTTAATGTTAATACAAATAAATGTATTATTATTTGTTATTAAAACAGAGAAACGATTTTTCCCACTTTTCGGCGTTTTGTTTATTGTTAACAGAAATAGATGGCAAGGACAAAAGTGAGGTGCTAGAGCGAATATTCGGCCAAATCCGCTGAAATCAGTTTCTAGTAATTAACAAGTACAGTCGTTGGAACTTGTTACTTTTTTATCCTTGGGAAGAAGAAAATTAGGGGCCAAATTATGAAAGATTTAAAACCTAGTAGGTATTAAATTATTGTTTTTAATTGGTAAAAAGACTTTCCTTGGAACTTTCGCTGCATTTTGTATTCATTAAAAGCAGAGGAGAACTATTTTAAAATACTCTTTCGCAAATAAAGAAAAAGATACAAACGAACATTCACCATGTATCAAAGAGGTGTCGATAAAATAAAATATCTTTGTCGTCGCTACAAAACAAATGGCTATTCAGCTCAACTCCTGCGAAAATTGCCGTCTGTGGAACTTATATGGTTTATTGAATTCGTTTATTATATGCTTTGTATTGAATTCGTCTGTGTAAACTTCTGAGAAATGAACGCCTTTCCATTAAAACTGATTTTTCATTGTCGATACACCTAAACGATACTCCCAAATAAAGATCCTTTATTAATTTTCCTTCAAAAGCGCGCTGTTCAGATGCATAAAATATACAGGACGTTTTAATAATGGTCAAGTTTTATGGATAAGTTTTTAAAAATGTTTTGATATGAAGATGATATATTGAAATTGAATTTGCAAATTTAATTGATAAAAAAATACACTTTTTAATACGCTGTTTAATTTTGTCAATCAAGTAGTTTTTTTCAAAAATGCAAAATTTTGGAAGACAGCCTTTAAAGACGTAATTTTTTGGATTTCGATAGTTTAGAATAGAAATTTTATCCTATTTTTCAGTGAAACCAGGCGAAATTTGAAAAAAATAATAACAAGGACGCACCTAAATAAAAATTAATTTCATTTAAAATCTTTTTAATATATTATATTAATTAAAAAAATATATTAATATATATTTACAATCAAAGAAGACAGGCATAAAAACAATTGAGAGTATTATAACCATATTAGTTACTTATCTTCCAGTTCTGATTAGTTGATAGATTTCTATTTGATATAGACGAAATAGATATGTACTAGCAAAATAGATCAGTAAAGATCATTATTTATTTTACACAGTATATATATTAATATATTTATTTAATTATAAATTATTTTCTTAATATTAATTAATTAATTATTAATATACTATATATATTAACACATATTAAAAAAACCTACTTTAAATGAAAATATATAAATTTATTATAGGATAATAAAATATAGATAGGGATAGAAGTTATTTTAGATAGGAAATCAATACAGCATTTTTTTTTGAATGAACATGAGTTTAAGATTTTTATAGGGAGTATTCATTATTTTAAGGTGAAAAACCTAAAACTTGTATTTTAAATTTTAATTAAACAAATTTATAGGTCAGAAATTTGTTTTTTTTAAGAGAATTTTTATTTAAAAAATAAAAAATGTTTGGTAAATTTTAACAGAGAAGCTTTAGTTAGTAGAAAAATAATTAGATTAATATGTCCAAAATTGCGAGTACAGCAAAAATTTGATTATTTTGGTTCGTTTTTTATGTTATTCATGAATTATATGTTAGTTTTGTTATTTAAATAATTCATAGAGCAAAATGGAATTTTAAATGTTAAGGAAGCTTGGAATATGCGATAGAGGGCAGAGCACACAAATCTGATCCAGATTCTGAGCTTTTCAATTTTTCAATTTTTGGTTTTCTAATAAACATGGAAACAGGCAGCAGATATGCTCGGGTTTGCACTTGTATCATTGCTTTTCTCACTTATACGTTATATGGGTTAAAATATTACGAAAGAGATTTGGGGACGTTCTGTATATCGACGGTACAGGTTCAATTCTACAATAACACCCACCGCGTTGGTAAATCGTTAACAAAGTAAGCGACTCAAAGTTCCTT